AGATTAAAACTCTGAAAAATGACAAGGAGATGGTGATTGTTAAATGTACACAGGAGGGGTGTCCTTGGAGAATAGGGTTGAGGAAAGTACTTGGTTCAAGTTCATGGAGGATTTTGAATATGACAGATGAACATGAAGGGTGTTCTTGGGTATGGGAAAATGGTATGGTTAAGTCTTCTGTGGTGGCTAAAAGGTGGTCAACTCAATTGCAAGACCATCCTAATTGGTTGATGAGGAAGTTCAAGGACAAGGTGTGCAGTCAGGAGGGTTTTTATGTTAGCAATTCACAAGCCTATAGGGCTATTTGGAAGGCAAAGAAGCTAAGGCAAGGTAAAGTGGAAGATACATTTAAGAAGATATGGAGTTATAAGGCAGAAATAGAAAGAACAAACCCCAAGACAACCTGTCCTGTGAAACTCAGTGACTTAAGTGATGAAAGTGGCAATTCCAGGTTTTTGAGAATGTATGTGTGTTGGGAAGCTAGCAAGCAAGGATTCAAGCACTGTAGAAGAATAATAGGTTTAGATGGCTGTCACCTTAGAACTGAAACTGGTGGGATGCTACTAACAGCTGTTAGTATTGATGGGAATGATAGTATATTTCCACTTGCATATGCTATTGTGGAAGGGGAGAAAAAGGAATCTTGGACATGGTTTCTAGAACTTCTGAAAACTGATTTGGAAATAAATAGAGGTGTTGAGGATGAATATTGCTTCATTAGTGATAAACAGAAAGGGTTGATTCCTGCATTTGAGAGTGAGCTACCTGGTGTGGAGAATAGATTCTGTGTGAGGCACCTTCATGCAAATATGAAGGTTACAGGTTTCCAAGGAAAGGCCCTTAAGGACTGCCTGTGGGCTTGTGCTAGGGCAACCACTTTGAATGCATTCAATGTTGAGTTAAGTAAACTTAGGGGCTTAGATGAAGATGCATACCAATGGCTTGGTGATAAGAGTCCAACAGAGTGGTCTAGATCTCACTTTTCTACACACTCTCACTGTGACATGTTGGTTAATAACATCTGTGAGTCATGGAATGGATTATAAGGGATGCAAGGGACAAACCAATTATTGAATGTCTTGAAACACTTAGGAAAATGTTGATGGGCAAATTCTTTGAGAAAAAACAAAAAGCAGTAGAGTGGAAAGCTTTGCTATGTCCTGCAATTGTGAGAAAGCTGAAGAAAATTGAGAAGGATGCAGCAAAATACCTTGCAACACAATGTGATTTCCATAAGTTTGAAGTAAGCCATTTATATGGGGATCAACAAGAAGTTGATCTGGAGGCAAAAAAGTGTTCTTGTAGGGTTTGGGACCTAACTGGCATTCCATGCAAACATGTCATTTGTGCTATATGGAAAAAGTATGGAAAGGGTTCAGTTACTGACTTTGTCCATCCCTGCTACTCCAAAGAGACATACTTGAAGGTATATGCTGGTTGTATCAACCCTATGACAGGTCCAGATGAATGGCCACAATGTGACAGAACCCCACCATTGCCTCCTTTGTATACTGCCAAGGTATATATGCATTTCCTAGTCATTAATGATTATTCTATTCACTTTTACTTGACTAAATTGCTTTGCAGGTTGGGAGGCCCAAAAAGCTAAGGGCAAGGTCAGCTGGTGAATTGACAATAGATGGAAAGTATGTGTCAAGACAACACATTCAGTTACATTGTGGCCTGTGCAGGCAACCTGGCCACAATGCAAGAAAATGTCCAACAAATCCAAATAAAAAGGTTTACTTTGTGGCCTCTCATTACATATTCAACTACATTTCCTAGTTTTGGTGTATTATGCCTGAGTTTACTTATCATGTTTGTTTGTTTTGTCCCAGTTGAAGCCAAAAAAAGAGTCATTTATACTGCCAGACAAATCCCCATCCACCTTCCTTCAGGGCACAACCAGCCTCATGAGGCTGTATCTGGACAGCATCCACCTGAGACAGAAGAGCACATTCCCTCTGATGACCAGCAGCAGCAGGAGCTAGATGACCTACCAGCAGCACAGCAGCTAGATGAGCAGGACCATAGCCAATCCAAGGACAGTAAAGGAAAAAGGAAATTGAGGCCCTCCAATAGGAAAAAACCCTATTATACCAGGAGCAAGACCACCTTCAAATCCAAGTTCTTTGGAAATAAGGGTGAACCAATTGACCTTGAGTGATTGCAAACTAGGTGCTTGTTAGGTTGGCTTATGACTGTGTTTTGAAAACATGATGGATAAGTTAAGGTCTTAGCTGTTTTGTATGTATTGTTTAAAACAGTCCAGTTAGTCTCTTTTGGGTTGTCTTAGCTGTTTTGTATCAAACTACTCAATGTACACTGGTTTTTGTGAATGGTAATGCAGCAGGGATCTTTCATGCTTTTGTCCAACATATGTATCCAATAAATTCATTACCAAAAGCAAGTCTGGAATTCATACAGTACCAAAACATATATATCCAAAAACCAAGCCTAATTCATTAATGACCAAAACCAACCATAATTCATACATTACCATAATACATTACCAAAACCAACCAAACTACAGACATTACACAACACCATAACTTGGAAATTTCATTACCAAACCCTACTACCAACTACTGCTACAAATATCACAATCAATACTACTAACACCTTGTTGATGGACTTCAAACCTTGTTCACTTCTCAGTTTCGAATTCAATTTTCGTATCTCTTCATCTTGTCGGTTGATGCGTTTTAGCAATCCTGGAATTATTCGCTTTGAACGATAGCACATTGGAGTATCATACCAATCAATAAAACCACATCCCACCTTCCTCTGCAATAATAAACAAATTGCCAAAAAAAAAGATTTAAAATAATTCCTAAAACAGAAAATATCTGAAAATTTGATGTTAATAAATTAGGGTTTGAAACTAATTTAAACAAAACAAAAAAAAAACCCTACCAAATTGAGCCTTTCGTAGGTATTTCATAAAACAAAACTGTGCTTAAAAATTAACTTACATTACCACCCGAGCATTGCCAAAATCTACGACCTGGGTTCTCAGCTGTCCATGAAGTGCGTATCTTCAGTTGCTCACCACACCGACAATGGACAATTGGAAACCTTTCCCCAAATTCATAAAACTCGTTGGCATGATTAGAAGAAGACGATGAATACGAATTAGCCATTGATTGCAAGCGGAGGAGGTCGAGCAGCAGTGCAGACGCCGTCGAGGAAGCTGGTCGGAAGGTGGAGATTTTGCCGTCGAGCAGCAGTGCAGTGGTGAAGTCAATCTCCGGAAAGAAATGTGGAGATTTGGCCGTTTTTTTAGCCTAGCACGAGATTTTAATTCGAAGGATACACTCGCAATGACGTTTTTACCCTCGCAATGACGTTTTTACCCTCATCAGAAATTAATTCGAAGGATTATATCTTTTTCCGGCCAAAATTGGCCGGCAATTTGGCCCGGAGAACCAAATGTGCCAAAAAATGCATAGTTAAAAGTTTAAATTGGGAGTTTTGAAAGTCACGTACTCAAATTGTCAGTACCCTAATACTCACAGGACCAAAAGTGCAATTTGTTCTTTTTTGTAGGGCAAGCAAGTTACTAACCAAGTTACCTTTATTACTGCGGTTACCCTTTCTTAGGTCACCTTTACGGTTACAAAGTTTCTATCTTTGTAGCTTATCTTTCTGTATAGCTATGCGCTTATTTTGCTGGGGATGCCCTGACCTTGAGTATGATGTACACAACATTTTTTGTTGTTAATATATTTACCTTTTAAAGTTTGAAGCAAATCTGCAGAATGTAAGAGAAGGAAGTATTCAAGCTGCTGAAAGTTAAACAATTTGTGTGCATTAAAGTTCATGTTTTATAAGTAAAGATCTTGAATTGAAACTGAAGTCTGTAATATTTGTTGTGTTTATTAAGATATATATATACAACAAAGAAATTTTTTACAATTTTAGTAATAAAAAACATAGGATTTTAGGGAACATCAGTACATCATGAAGATCTAAATTGTATGGAACATCAGTAACATGATGTTTGTGTTCAAATACTGGGGTGAGAATAAATTAAGGGTGTGTTTGGTTGGTGGGTTTTGCTCATAGGAATGGGTATAAAGTGATTGTTGTTGTTTGGTTGATAGGTTTTTAGAACACTATTATGAGTTTCGAATACCCCATCAATTGAAAAACTCATACCAAATAAAATAACGGTTTCATTCCTTTATTTATTATCAAACACTACTATTAATAACCATTCTCATTCCACCCTACTACCAAACATGTTAAATACTTTCACCAAAATCCATTATCATTACCAAGTATTTGATACCCATTCCGATTCCTATGTGCGAACTGAACACACCCTAAATTAAGTCCAAAAGATGAATGAGAATCACATATTACAATGAGACAAATCTAATCTTGTGGTGTGGTTGAATGGAAAGGACTTATTCATCTTCAGGTCCGCTGTCCCACCCAAATGAGGATGAGGTGCTTACAATTCAGCAAAGGAATTAGTCACTTTATCCGACGATGGAACCCCTGGGTATACCAAAAAAAAAAAAAAGTTTTTTGAATTCAAATATTAAGTTTTGTATTAGCCAAGTATTATGTAATGTGATTTGTGACATATTTATTATTCTCAAATTTTATTTCTGTGACTAACTGAGCTGTTTATACCGGCTGATGATGTATTATTATCATTATAAGTGGATAGTCACATGATCGAACTCTCGTGAATGAAAAATTGAGTGGAAGATGTTTTCTTGAAATAGAAGTGAAAGGGCAGACTTCGCGCCTTTTTTCAAAATTTTATTTTTGATTCCCCATTTTCTTTACACATATGAATAGAAACTACGTCGTTCTCCTGGCATAAAAACTGTCCCTCAAATTAGGGTTTTTTCACTTCTTCTTCATTAACACCGGGCGAAGACTGTCGCGTAAGCTGCTTCGCTTCAAAGATTTTACGAGTATTTGTATATTCAGATATCCAGGTGAGTCTTTTCTTCTCTTTGGTTCGATCTTGCATAAATCAAATGTTGGGTTTCGTTTGTAAGAAATTTCCGCATTTGAGGTCCGCTGCTAGATCTTCCGTCACTATTTATAAATTTTATGGAACAAAAGCGGGAGATGAATCCTTAAACCAAGTGAAGCAAGAATCCTTTGTAGTTTCTTATCTCGTAAATAGATGTGGGTTTGCTCCAGAAAAGGCTCTTTCAGCTTCTAGTTATATAAAGTTTAAAACGACAGATAAACCAGACTCTGTGCTTTCGTTGTTGAAAAGCCATGGATTCTCAGAAACCCAGGTCTTAAAAGTTGTTCAAGGGTGCCCTCCAATCCTGCTAAGTGATCCTCAAAATACCCTTTTGCCAAAGATTGAATTTTTCAAGTCTTTAGGGTTTACGGAGGAAGATTTTACTCAAGTACTATGTAGAGCCCCCAGTATTTTCAAAAGAAGCCTGGAGAATCAGCTCTTGCCAACTATAAATTTCCTTGAAAGATTCATTTCCTCTCCAGAGAAAATAAGAGTTTGTGTGAAACGGGGCACATGGATTTTTTCTCCGTCTTGTCAGCATTTAATGGAAGATAATGTTCAAGTTTTGAGGGAAATGGGAGTGCCCGAATCAAGAATTGCGCATTATGTTCATCACCAGCCTAGGTTGATCACCAAGGACAAGGACAAGTTTAGAAAGGTTCTGGAGGAAGTGAAGGGACTGGGGTTTGAGCCGACGAGGAAAACATTTATGGTGGCGGTTCATGTGTTCTGTTCCATGAGTAAATCGACTTGGGAAAAGAAGATACGTATTTATAAGAAGTGGGGGCTTACAGAGGCTGAGATTCTTGAAACCTTTGGGAAGAATCCTTGGTTCATGTCATGCTCCGAGGAAAAGATTCAAGGGGCGATGGATTTTCTTGTCAACAAAATGGGGTTCAAACCTTCTGATCTTATGAGAAACCCTGTGACCATTACTTTTAGTTTGAAGAAGAGGATTATTCCTCGATGTTTGGTTTATCAAACTTTGTCGGCTGAGGGTTTGCTATTGAAGGACTTGAAATTACTCACTAAGATGTTGTTCGTTTCTGAGGAAAAGTTCCTAATGAAGTTTGTAGAGTGCTACAAGAAAGACGTTCCTGAACTGCTTAAGCTATATCAGTTATCTTGCCTAAAGTAGACTTTCCCTTATAGCTGATTACCAGTTGCTTAGCCATTCAGCTTCATTCATCACAAACGGCCCTGTCAAGTTACTTCTCGAGCAAAATCAGTGAGTCTAGGTCATTACTGCTATGGTATTCTGCATTTCTGATTGAGATTTCCTGCAATTCATGCTATCATTGAAGATCAGACCAAATGGGAACTGGGTGGTTTTCTGGTTCGATTATAATGGTAAGCCATTAAGCTAAGAAGTATACATAGGTAACAGAACTGACATTTCAAGAAAAGCCAACAGTCTGCTGCTACTAAAGCCATTGTTTTAGTTATGCTTCAATTTGATCCAATGTTGTAAAAGGCGCTAGGTGCTGGCGGTCTAAGGTTGTTCCGAGGCAACTCCAAGCAATCACGTTTAACTGTCTAGTCAGCAGCTGCCTAGGCTGAGTTTTACAATGATTTGATTTTGAAATCTTTGTGATTACAATGGACTATAGCAAATAGTTGTCCTTGCATGAATAGTTTATTCATTTTTTAAACAAATATTTAAAGCTTATTTAAAAATAATTTCAGATTTTATTTGTTGCAAAAATCTTTTATTAGCTATTAAAGTTTATTTTGCAGAAAAATGATATATGTACTCTTAAAAAGAAAAGAAAAAAAAAAAAAGACTTGTAATAGATAAAGTGCCTAGGACAGATGTTAAACTACTTTGATTTGCCTCACATTGCTATGCAAGCTGTTATAAACATTCATTTACTCCAATGTTCAAATATAGTATAGATGAAAATACGTATGAACATAATGGGAAATTTTAAAGTGTCAATTTTTGTATTAGATGCAAACCTACATGCATCCACACATTATTAGGGGTGAACATTAGTCAGTTATGGTCTATAATTGACCAATGATCGATATCTATTTTTTAATCTTCATAACCGACCAATAATATAGATTGAATATTTTCAATCAGTTACTTTATATTTTATTGGGTTGGACAAGGCATTGGATTTATGATAGACTAAACTCTAAATACTCCATAACTTCTATATATTATCGGTTATTTGGTGATGATTAATTGAATAAGCAAACTTTTTTTAAACTAATAACCAAAAACCAAAATTTTTGGTCAATTCGATTATCAATTTCGTCGGTTTTTCAGCAATTATGCTCAGGCGGCTCAGCCTTAGACATGAGAGAGAGAGAGGAGTAAAAATATGTAGGAGACTGGTAACTTCACAAATCTATAATACACTATTACACTTGTCTCTTTAGAAGGGTGTGCTATATAAAGCACTTGTATCTTTAGAAATGCATGAGAAAGCATTAAAGGAATACACATTGACCAAAACAGATCAGATCTTCCACTTGATGCTATAACTAAATGCATTGCAATCTCATTAAACATCAGACGAATTGCTTTAGAAACTCGGTAGCAACAAGCCGCCCTCGTGTGTTAACTGATAATTTGAGTTCACTGATCTCCTTATCGATATCCTGACAGTCATAGGAACAACAGTAAATATATCAGTCTAGTCTTTACATAACTATAATACTCCATCAAGAACCACCAAAGCACCAAAAGACAGTAGAATAGTAAAAATAAAAAGGTTAACTTATAAGCCTATGGTAATAAATAAATGCCATCTATCTATCGGAGCTAGACTATGGGCAGTGCAGATAATCTTTACAACCATTCACTGCTAAACCTACATTGCTGCTGCACCAACCATTGTAAGCTCGCCCCTCTGTTTTTACAACTCAGAGGAATGGGGATTGAACCTAAAACCTCTTATTGAGTCTCACGCCCGGACTATAGAGTCCTTGGCAGGTTGTTCTTCTTTTAATGCATTGGATATTTTGCAACATGAAGAGCAAACAATATCTTTTCCTAGATTTAGCATGTGTTATTTTAGTATCTTTTCCAGTTACCAGGACTTTTGACCCCAAAAAGAGGGGAGCGCTACAAAAACATAATAGTGATCTTACCTCCATGAACTGTACTATAAAATCAATAAGTTTCGGCTTCTGCAGCTCCTCACAATGATAATTAGTTATGAGAAAACTAATATCATAGCCCTGAAAGGTTAAGTAGGCACAAATGATGAAAAGTTAGGAATTTCCCTTAATTAAATGTTAATTCAAAAACGTAAGTAAAGCACCAAAGTTGTCAAGATTACGTAGACAGTTATATGAAAGCAATATTGAATATCATCAACTAGAAAAATAGTTAATGTCTCCATCCATAAACAATGACTAGAAAACATAGTTTGATTCTATGAAAGCATTAATGATTGTCACTATCCAAATTTGACAGTTGGACTTTCTCTCACATGCAAAATGATTTCTTTTATAATTCAAAATCTAAAAGACAAAAAAATATGCATTTTAATTCCTATTACATGCAACGATAATATATTCCTTCAGGACTAATAGATGGTTTGATTTTCTAATAAATTGTTTGGAGTGACAACACACAAATGTAGTGCACGTAACTTAGATGGTGTGAAAAAAGCACGGAAACTTTATTGTTAAAATTCAAATGTGTCTGGAGCAGGAAAATTAAGGTTGCTACATAGGAAGAAAGCAACACATACCTGTACTGGCTTCCTCCTAAGTACCTGAAATGCCTCGGCTCTCATTGACAAAAACCTGAGGAACTTTTTTGCTAATATGTTTTCAAGTTCATCTGCCTGCTTTACCTATACAACACGGATAAAATAACATAAGAGGAATTGCAAGTTTTCAGTCATCATTTTCAATTCAATATTTTCTATTTTCTTATACTGCAGAATTTCATCTAAATGCTACAGATACTGAAGAATGGAATAATATTTAATTTGGACCTTTTTTTTCAAGTTAGTATGTATGGGTATTTGGTATTTTGGTTAAGGACTTAAATTTAAACAATTTGAATCTTTAAGTATTGTTTAATGTTTTTAAGTCTTTTGTACTAGTTGTATTTGAGATGATTGGATGTTAGGCTAATGGGATATTTAAATATATAAATTTGTAAATTAATTGTATAATTTAAATAAAATATTATTTTATAGTGTACTACAAAATTTGAAAGTGTATAACAATTTTTTTAAAACCCGGGGAGGGGAATCCCCGCGGAGATGCGGGATAATTCCCCATCCCCGCTGGGGAACGGGGTGGGGTCGGGGAACAGGGGATGAATTTGGGGGCGGGGACGGGGACCCCATTCCTTGCCCCTGCCCCATTGCCATCCTGGAATATGCTATAGAACATTTGTATAGAGAAACAAAAACCAGAATATGCACATTGCTATCAGTACCTTGAGGCTTATCCTCAGTGAATTAATAGATGTTTCTATCAAGCACCTTTCAACTTCATTTCGACAAATCAAAACCTGGCAGATAGTACACACTAATTCAATCTTAGAAAAAACACATGTAACAGTAACATTGTTCAAGAGGTCGTCATAACCCATAGCCACAAAATCAGAAGTCATTATGTTTAGAAGTTACTTAACAGGTTAAATTTCCATAGTAGATTAAGAGAGGCATAAACCAGAAGCACTAAAGCTTCTCCAGTGTACACAAGAAATATGATTTTTTGAATTTTAAAAAATAAAATAAAAATTCTTACAGGATTAAGTAGAAGTTCTGCGCTGGTCCTGAAAATCAGACAACATTTAAGAAATTAACAAATATATAAGGATCAATGAATGGGACATAAAATGGAAAAGCAAAATTATTATTAAAAGAGAGAGAGAGAGAGAGAGAGAGAGAGAGAGAGAGAGAAATATAATTTGTGGTGTGGAGAAAAGAAAAATATTCAAAATTTTAATCACTGCGTAATTTACAAATACCAAGTTACCAACCATATTGAGTATCTAAAAATTCCAAATATATGATTGTATTAAGGGAACTTCACGAACTGATTGCTTGGATTCCAGAGGACATACAAGTTTCCTACTGATCTAAAATTCATCTAGGCAAATTAGGACTTATCCCTTCATAGTTGATCTATTTTCTTTGATAGGTAGAAATTTCTTAGCAGTTAGCACTAGTGCTAAAGGATGGAACAACCCTCATAATGATGAATTAGTACAACCCCAAGTGATAACACATTAAAACACAAACGAAGCAACAATTCATACTTTAGTTCAACCTCTGGTTTGTTATGCCTTTCAACTTCTTGACAAGGGAAGTTCTGCATACAGCACAAGGATAAGAGGATATTTCAGCCACGCCCGAAGTGAATACAATATCATACTTGTACAAACCAAATGGTTAGGAAATAATTTGGAGGAAAACACAACAAGCATGTAGCAGTAGTTCTGTTTCAGATAAGTATTAACGCTGCATTATGAAAAAAGAAAAAAAGACTTGAATCCAAACATGCACAAAAGTCTCTTTCAAAATGCAGTCTCCATGGATCAGGCAAACAAATATTGCTCTGTTGAATTCAATGAAGTAACAGTTACACACAAATACAGAAATAAAAGGAAAAGAATCAGAATGAGAACAATAAATCCATGTAAAAGAAATGTGTCTTATTGAGCATACACTGAAAGAGCATTAGCCAGTAATGGCAAAAGTAAACCAAAGTTAAAGAAATTTAAAAGGTGTTCTAGCTCCGCTGACTTGAATTCTAGTCAATGACATCACAAATGAGGCTATAAGATCACCAGAAATGCAATAACAAATACCTGGAGACACATGGCGGCCTCAAGAGTGTGTCTTATGCACGTCAGATATAACCGCAATGAGTTTGCCTAACAAATAGATCACAAAAATTCAGCACTCGCCAATAGTGTATAGAAATAAGTAAGTTGTCAGAAAATAGTGTCACATGATTAACAAATTAGTTAATTCCAAAATGGCATGTTTGGCTCACGAAATGAAAACAAAAAAAAAAAATAGGAATAGGATTCCACAAAGAATGAAATAGATAAGTAATGGAAAAAGAAATACTATTCCACTGTTTGGTTTATAAAAATACAGAATGAATAATATTCTATAACATGGTTGGCTTAAGAATTGGAAAAGGAAAAAG